AAAAAAAAAAAAAAAAAAAAAAAAGACTATGCTTTCAATACTTAGGGTATTTACCCAAAAGTGAGTTTATAGGATTATATGATAATTCTATTTTTAATGTTTTTATAGTCCCAGGAGGGATGCAGAGTCCTTTATTAATGCAGCCTTGTCCAAACCAGATCCTGAATAAAGTCAAAACTCAACCAACAGGTGGAAGTCCAAGAATCTGAGTGGAGACTCACCGAGGCGAAGGGGCCAACCATGGGAAAGGAGAGTGGATGGGGTTCAGGTGTATATTGCACATAATTCTGGGGGCTGCTGGTCCGTCTGAGGTGAGCTACTCTCAGCTTCCACCAAGTACAAACCATGTAACCCCAGATGAGTCATTTGAGCAGAGTCAGAGCCTGGGATTCCTCCCCCTCTAAAGCGGGGCCCATGGTATCCTTGGGGACTTTTGAAGAGAGTATGTCAGCTGAGCTCTGTCTCATTCCTCAAAATTATTTGACAAACGCTGGTAGCCCATCCACTGAGTCAGAAGCTTTTGAGCTGCTATAAAGCAATGTCCTCCAATGCAATGGCCAAAACTAAAGAAAATCATAATGTTTCTCTGTCACCTGCACCACATTTCAAGTGCTAAACGTGGCTACCTTAGTAGACAGTACAGAAAACAAATGTGGCTATGATTGCAGATGGCACTGCTGTGGAGATTCTGGGGAGCCCTAGAGGACCCCCGCATGCTGCTGCAGGGCCCTCAGGGCCTCCATCCCCTCACCTCTCTGGAAAAGCAGCTCTGATATTGTCTTCTGTCAACCCTGTGCTTGGAAAGATTATATTTTCCTTGCCAAAAGGGAAAGTGTGAAGACTGCTGTTTGCTTCAATGGATTTATTTTACATTAGGGGAACAGAGGCGCAGGGAGGGCCAGTGAGCCCTCGATGGTGTCTGTGAAACAGGCATAAACAAGCCTGGGATTCAGGTTCTCCTGGGAGCCGGTCCACTGGCCGCTTTCCACGTTAACTGCCCTTGTTTTGGGATCCCATACCTGCTCTGAGTCTTTCCAGAGCACAGCAGACCCCTCCTCCTCATCGTCACCACAGGAAGATGTCAGGGAGGTCTGGGGGACTCTGTCTCATGGGGCCAACCCCAAATTTCCACTTCCCGCAGCTGTGACTGTGGGGACTGTGCCCGTGGAGCTCGGTGCCATGGGCTTCACCTCAGTAGGAATCGCCGCGTCCTCCATAGCAGCCAAGATGACATCTACAGCGGCCATTGCCAATGGGGGTGGAGTTGCCGCGGGCAGTCTGGTGGCTACTCTGCAGTCAGTGGGTGAGTGTTCTGGACAGGATGACCAGAGCCAGGAGATGATCCAGGCCTGAGGCTGAACCCCAGGGAGGCCTCTTCTCTCCCTGCACGTCCGTGATCCTCTGCCTCCTGGGCCCTTTGTCTTTCTCTCACTGTCCCCTCTTCTGGTTGGAGGTGGGACCAGGGGTGCAGCCTCGGAGATCTGTGTTCCTGGTGAACCCTACAAAACCCAGGCATGTCCCTCCCCTCTCTGGGCCTTTGGCAGATAAGGAGCCTGCCATTTCTCAGAGGGTCTACCCTGTCACTGGGATTCCCCACTAGAGTTATTGCCTCCTCTCCGGCCACTGGCCTGCAGCAGCCCCTCCCAAAGCAGAAATCCTAGGGTTTTAGGAAGTAGAGGCAGAGAACAGGGTTGGGCTGCCTGGGCCCCAGGCCTCCGGAGGGACCCAGGGTCTCTGGCCTCCAACCCCTGTTAGGAGCTGCTACCCCTCCCTGTGCCCTGTGCTCACCCTCTCTTCTCCCGCAGAGGCAGCTGGACTCTCCGTGACATCCAAAGTTATCCTGGGCTCTGCTGGGACAGCTCTTGGGGCCTGGCTGGGTTCACCCCTTCCACTCCCCCAGCTGAACACCGCACTGAGGCAAGGAGGTGGCTCTCTTGGTGGAGATGACTCTCCTGGGCCTCTGGATGACAGTCTTCCAAAGGACAAGTCCCCTACTCCCAAAATTCTTCAAGGAAGCATGAAAAATAAAGATGCTGGTGATCTTCTCCTAGTGTCAGTTCTCTGTTCTTGTGGTCAGGATAGGGTATATCTCTGCTGCAGGAGTGCTGAACAGGGAGGGACTCAAGATGAAGGAGCATGGGATGTCCGTGACCAGAGCCAGGTCTGGCCCCAGGCTTTCCACTCATTCTGTGGTCCTGTGCAGGTCATGTCTGCCCTTTGAGCCTCAGTTCGCTGCTCTTCAGATGGGAGAGTCAGGCAGAGTCAGTGTTACAGGATGGTGTGGCTCTTGGGTCATTGCTTGAGCCATTGACCCTAAATTACGAAGCCCTTTGTCCTCACGCATGACTGATCCCTCCCTTTCCCACCTAGGACTCAGGGTGTGGCTGTATGATTACTCTAGAAGTTCAGCAACCCTGCATTTGCCTAGCCTGTGAGCCTTCTCCACACAGGTAGAGAAGTTTCATTCCTCCAGGGAGCTCTGTCCCTCTCAGCACACAGCCCAAGCTCCTCAGTCCCCAGGTGGACTGAGCAGAGCCCGTGAGGATGGACAACGGGCTGGGGCTCCTGAGAAGCAGGCCAATGCAGAACATCCATTTCCAGAGACCTACTATGTGCCTGGCCCGAGATCAGGTGCTAGCTGTCCTATGCACACTGACCTGGCATCTGCCATCCGGCACCTACCTGGCCGTGAGGATAAGTAAACCACACTTGACTTCTGGAAGGCTTGTTTAGACTCGGCCTCTGACCTCAACGTCAGTCCCACTCTGGGCTATTTGGCCTTCACACTTATTTTTCCTTTACAGCTGCATTCCCACAGGACTCTCCCTGGGATGCTGGCTGAGCTGACTCCCACAGCTCCCAACGGGCCTCAAGGCTTCATCCCACGTGATCGCCCTGGCTACAGAGGATCACAGAGGTCCACCTCTGCCCAGGGTGCACAATGCTGGGGAAGCCAGCCCTTAACCAGTGATGTTAAGGGACTTGGGGTAAATTACAGAAATGACCACATTCTTTGCCCTTTCAGCATGGCTGTACAGCTCCTCCCATCAAGAGGTAGGGATTTCTTTCCCCTCCCTTTGAATCTCTTCTGGCCTGGGGAGTTGCTCTGGCCTGGCGGATAGAACACAGTGGAAGTGATGGCGTGCTAATCTTGAACCTAGTCCCTAAGAAACCTTGCAGCCTTCTGCTGTACCTCCCGGACCCCATCACTGCCATGAGAACAAGCCAGGCTGGGCAAGCACACAAAGTTCATTCATTCCAGACAAGACCCCCAACATGGCAGCACGCCCAGCCAAGTTCTGCAAAGCCGACCTGCAGCTGACTGCAGATGGGTGAGGGGCCCAGCTGAGACCAGAAGAACCACCTGCCTAGATTGCTGACCCACAGAATCAGGAGCTACATAGCTTTTTTAAGCCACTAAATTGTGTGGTCACTTTTTATCCAGCCATAGGTGACTGACAACATAAGACAATGTGTATAATCACTGAAGAGGATCAGGCTATATGGCTTGTAGGACAGAGAAGGAAGTGATTGATTCTAATTGTAGCAACCTGGGAAGACTTCCTGGAGTAAGGGCTGTTTGACCTAAGGCTTATGGAGTTGTAAGTACCAGAAACTTGATCGCAACTTGCTCAGAGTTCAAGGGACTTCATTGCTTTAAGAAATGGAAAGGTCCAAAGGTAAAGTATGCTTCAGGCAGGGTTTGATTCAGCAACACGGATGCCAAAGACCTGTCTTTTCTATTCTTCGTTTCTGAGGCATCGGGTTCATCCTGTGGCTGCCAGCTCTTGTGGTTACAAGACAGCTGTTAGCAAGTTCTGGAAGCTACCTTCTTTATTCATGTCTCCCAGAAAGAACATGTTTTCATGTACTTCCTCCTGAAAAGCAAAGAAACATCTTTCCCAAATACCTCTAGTAAATGTTCATGCTGCAATCTTAAATGGAGTCATTTACTCATTCCTAAAACCCTTTAGTTAGGCCCAAAGGATGGGTGGGGTGTGATGACTGGTTTAAGTCCACCTTGGCTCACCTTTAGAAAGTGCAAGGAGAGCCCATGCCTCTGATACACTCATAGGTCAGGGCAGGGGCTCCTATACCTGCAAGAGAAGGTTTCTGTTTCAAAGAAGAGAGGGGGGTAAGAGACACTGAGTGCCCACACAGTGTCCTGTACAGACAGCGTGGGCGTTGTTCTCAGGGAAGACAGCGCCTCAAGGATCCTTGGGGGAAACCAAAGCGGGCTCCCACCAGGTTCACTGCTTTCTCTGTCTTGTTATCCTCACCACTCCAGCCATTAAGGAAAAGCACACCGGACCCGAAGGCAAGTGGACAGTAGGTTACTGTCTTTTTATTTTTAACTTTACAATATGGGATTATATTATTTTCTAATGAAAACCAACATTTTATTACATTTTAATTACTTAAGAGATCTTGAAGTAGCTTTGACTCTTAAAAATCTGAATTCCTATAGGTAAGGCTAAAGCCCCTTTGGCTCTGATAAGCATCCTTGCCCCTCGTTACAGCCCCTACTCCCACTCTCAGAAGTAAAGCACTGCTGTAATTTCTTACGTTCCTTTCCAGGGACCCCCCTTTTATACTGTGATAAAAATTCATAAAATTTACCATCTTGACCATTTTTTTAAGTACAGTTCAGCAATGTTAGGTATATATTCATGTTGCTGTGAAACATCTCCAGAATTTTTTCATCTTGCAAAACTGAAACTCTGTTCCCATTAAACAGCTCCGCTCTACCCCTCCCCCTGCCCCTGGTAACCACCATTCTACTTTCTGTCTTTGTGAATTTGACGACTCTAGGTACCACTTATTGGCGGAATTATAAAGTATTTGTCGTGTGTGTGTATGTGTGTTTAGAGATGGCTTTTTTTCCACCATGTTGCCCAAACTGATCTCAAATTCCTGGGCTCAGCTGATCCACCCACCTTGGGCTCCCAAAGTGCTGGGATTACAGGTGCGAGCCACCATGCCTGGCCAAAACTATATAGTATTTGTCTTTTTGTGACTGGCTTATTTCACATGCTTATGTTCTCATCCATGATGCAGCATGTGACAGAATCTCCTTCCTCTTTAAGGCTGAACGACATTCCATTGGATGCATCGATCACATTTTGTTGATCCATTCACCCATCAGTGGACACTTGGGCTGCTTCCACCTCTTGGCTTTTGTGCATAGTGCCGCTATGTATGTGGGTATGCAAATATCTCTTTAAGATGCAGTGTCTTAGGCCGTTTGCACTGCTGTAATAAAATACCATAGACTAGGTAGCTTATAAAACAGAAATTTATTTCCCACAGTTCTAGAAGCCGGGAAGTCCAAGATTAAGAGGCGTCAGCCCCCTTGGTGTCTGGTCAGGTCCCTTTCCGGGTTTGTAAATGGTGCTTTCCTGGTTTGTAAATGGTGCTTTCTTTGTGTCCTCATCATGGTAGTGGGCTAAGGCAGCTCACTGGGGGCCTCTTTTATAAAGGCACGAATCCCATTCTTTAGGGCTCTGCTCTCCTGATTTAGTCACCTCCCAAAAGTTTCATCTCCCAGTACCATCACCTTTGGGGTTATGATTTTAACAAATTTGGCGGGGACATAGCATTCAGACCATAGCACCCTGCTTTCAATTCTTTGGGGTATATACCCAGAGGTGGGGTTCCTGGACCATATAGTAGTTCTCTTAATTTTTAAAGGAACTTCCATACTGTTTTCCATAGCAACTACTCCATCTTACAATCCCACCAACAATGTACAACGGTTCCAATTATATAAGGGCCAACACTTTTTATTTTCTGGTTTTTTGATAGCAGCCATCCTAATGGTTATGAGGTGGTATCTCATTGTGGCTTTGATCTGCATTTCCCTAATGATTAGTGATCTTAACTTTTCATGTACTTTTTGGACATTTGTATATCATATTAGTTCATTTTGCACTGCTGTAAAGGCATACCTGAGACTGGAGACTGAGTACTTATAAAGAAAAGAGGTGTATTTGGCTCATGGTTCTGCAGGGAGCATGGCACTGATATCTGTTCGGCTTCTGGAGTGGCCTCAAGAAACTTGTACTCACAGTGGAAGGCAAGGGGAGCTGACATCACACGGCGCGAGAGCAAGAGGAAGGCAGGAGGTGCCAGGGTCTCTTCTGCAGTCAGATCTTGCAGTAACTAATAGAGTGAGAGCTAACTCATTACTGCGAGGACAGCGCCAAGCACCCCCATGACCCTAACACCCACGACTAGGCCTCATCTCAAACACTGGAGGTTACATTTTAACATGAGATTTGGAGGGGGCAAATCTTTAAACTATAGCATAGATCATCTTTGGAGAAATGCCCATGTAAGTCTTTTGCCCATTTTATTGATATATGACTTATTATTGTTACTATTTCAGATGGAGTTTCACTCTTCTTGCCCAGGCTGAATGCAATGGCACAATCTCGGTTCACTTCAACTGCTGCCTCCTGGCTTCAAGCGATTCTCCTACTTCAGCCTCCCAAGTAGCTGGAATTACAGGCACATACCACCACGCCTTGCTAATTTTTTGTAGTTTTAGTAGAGACAGAGTTTCACCATGTTGGTCAGGCTGGTCTTGAATTCCTGACCTCAGGTGATCCGCCTGCCTCAGCTTCCCAAAGTGGTGCGATTACAGGCGTGAGCCAGCACTCCCGCTTTTGCTCATTTTAAAATTGGATTATGTGATTTTTTGTTGTTGAGTTGTAGCATTTTTTTGTATACTCCAAATATTCACTCTTCATTGCCAAGTCCAATGTCATGAATAATTTCCCCTATGTTTTCTTCTAGGAGTTTCATAGTTTTATGGCTCACATTTGGGCAATTAGTTCTCCATGCCCTTTTAAAGTTATTTCTGTGGATAGTTGATAGAAGAGATACATAGGTATCTCCACAGAAAATATTTTTATGTAGTTCTGTTATATGCATTTTTATTGCTACGATTTTGTTTAACCTAATACATACTGTTCTGATGTTGGCTTTTTTATAAGTCTTTTAAAATTATTTTTAATTGCTGCTTAGTATTCTATGGTAATGATCCACCACATTTTATTTTGTCTTTTCCCTTTTAATGCTACTTGTGTAGCTGGTTGCTAAAGGAACATTTCCTACTTTGGAGGAATTACTTTTCTTCTTATTATTATACTTTTAAGTTCTAGGGTACATGTGCACAACATGCAGGTTTGCTGAACCCATCAACTCGTCATTTACATTAGGTATTTCTCCTAATGCTCTCCCTCACTCAGCCCCTTCCCCGCAACAGGCCCAGTGTGTGATGTTCCCCTCCCTGTGTCCATGTGTTCTCATTATTCAATTCCCACTTGAATAATGAGTGAGAACATGCGGTGTTTGATTTTCTGATTTTCTCTACTTGTGATATTTTGCTGAGAATGATGGTTTTCAGCTTCATCCATGTCCCTGCAAAGGACATGAACTCATCCTTTTTTATGGCTGCATAGTATTCCATGGCGTATATGAGCCACATTTTCTTTATCCAGTCTATCATTGATGGGCACTTTGGTTGGTTCCAAGTCTTTGCTATTGTGAATAGTGCCACAATAAACATACGTGTGCACGTGTTTTTATAGTAACATGATTTTATAATCCTTTGGGTATATATCCAGTAATGGGATAGCTGGGTCAAGTGGTATTTCTAGTTCTAGATCCTTGAGGAATCACCACATTGTCTTCCACAATGGTTGAACTAATTTACACTCCCACCAACAGTGTAAAAGCGTTCCTATTTCTCCACATCCTCTCCAGCATCTATTGCTTCCTGACTTTTTAATGATTGCCATTCTAATTGGCATGAGATGGTATCTCATTGTGGTTTTGATTTG